CACCTCCACCCAATCAGAACACAGCCAAGCTCCCATCCAATCAGCTCCAACCCCACTGGCAGTTAAAAGGAAGAAACAGCTGCGATCACACACCACTCTTAGGAGCACGAAGCTGAAGACACCAGCCTGAAGATGACGAATGTGACTTCGTCGAAACGTCGCCAAGGTACTTTTAATTCTACGTGGGAGAAAACCCGAAAAACTAAAGACCTACATATATATATATATATATATATATATATATATATATATATATATATATATTATATAAAAACACTATATATATATATATATAGTGTATAAATAACAACTATATATATATATATATATATATATATATATATATATATATATATATATATATATATATATATATAATTAACTATGAATATATTTGAAGATGTATTTATTATTGGCATCCAGACTTCTTCTTGGCCCATGTAACCAACGAATGATGCCGTTAAACTCATTTTGGCTTTCCCTAACATGATCCATAAGAATCCACACCCAGTGTTCCTGCTAAGGATATCCGTCCCAGCCTTTTTTTCACCCAGGTACCTTTTGTTCTCTAAAGGTGTAACTATCTACTTGGCATTTATCTTCCGTAGTAATCATCATCAGGCTTCACAACCAATTGGTCAGAGAGGAATATTTCTTATTCCATCTTGCTGACAGAAGATATAGGGCGAGGATCTTCAAACCTGGCCCTTTTATGACTTGTGGACTTCAACTCCAAAAATTCATCAGCCAGCGTGCCTGGCTAAGGAATTCTGGGAGTTGAAGTCCACAAGTCATAAAAGGGCCAAGTTTGATGACCCCTGATATAGGGAGATGCACCATATGGTGCAAAGTGGAACAAAGCAATAGTAGATCAACTTGTTGGGTAAAGAAGCACTGGGGACTTCAAGCAGCCAATGCCATTTCCTTATGTTGACACATGATACAGGCCACACTGCCTGTTAATTCCCTTGAGCACTCAAGGCCCCTGAGCATCCTGGCTAAGTGCATGCATTAACTGTCTCTTTTGCAGGCGTGCACAGTGCCCAAATGTGCTGAAGACCAATCCAATCAGTCAGTGCCTGGATGCTGCAAAAGGTGAGTTAAGGAGACCTTCTTGGAAGCAGCAGCAACTTACAATCAGAATGTACAAAGAGCACTGGATAAAATTTGGAAGCAAATTCCTGCTACAGCTCTTCTTCCCACTCTGTCTTAGCATTTGCTTTTATAAGTTTCAAAAAGACTGGACCAGAGGCTGCCTCTGGTTGTCAGCCCATCTTTGAAAACACCAGGATGTGGTTCAATTAGCCAGCAGCTGGAAGACCAACTTGGATGCCTGGGAGTGCAGTTTGAGGGAATGTGGAAGCTCATCTGCATGACTGCGGCTGCTTTTGAAAGGAGCAGACAGCAACCACAACTTCATTCTCTCCTGTATTTCTTTTATAGCACCTGCAATTATTTCCTGCCAGTAAATTTCTGTTGAATCTGAATGGAGGGAGGGGAGCACCAGCCAATAGCAAGAAAACACATGTAATGCTTATTACAGTTCAATCTGCAAGAGTTGAGAAAATAATGTAATGGATAACAACCGCCTTGAATACCTCTCTCACTGTAGTAGAGTTGCCTCCTTAACCTCTTTACAAATATTGAGCCTAGTACCATCTACATAACGCTTCGGACTTTATCTGATGATGGGCTGAATCCGAGGATGCTGAATTGATCAGCAGAATGCAAGGTGTATCATAAGAACAGGGGCACCTGCCAGGACAGGTTGACAAAAATCAAGATGGTGCACATACTAAAAGGGAGGGTTTGATGGTACAGTCACAACCACCATCTTTACTCTTTTGATCCCTGTCTGCAAAAACCCCGGGCAAAAATACCTAAAAATCTGCCCTTGGTTTAGAAATTTGCTCTTTAAGGATTAATTAATTCAAGCTCAAAGTTAATTATTACCTGGAAGGGTTTAAACACTGACTGGATTCATCCATCATATTAAGCCAAACAATTTTTTCTTTAGGAGTACAAGGGAATGAGTAAACTAACACATTTTGGGTTAGCATTATATGCAAAGCAGAGCATCTGGCTGGTTAAAAAAAAACGTATTTCAAAAAGGCTCAACTAAGCACTTATATTATAAACCTGCCACTCTTACTTTCCTTATTGTTTTAGTAAGACAGACATACCTTATGTATTAAATTCAGAATAGACTTAGTAAAGAATAGTTAATAAATATAGTAAAGTTATATAAATACTATACATATACTCAAAGTTAAGCCAAGAATTTTACTACCCCAAAATGGGTTTGACTTGTCTGCAGAAAAGCTTATCTGCAAGGAGTTACACTTATACTTTTTAAAGTACCTGCATATAATTGCGGATAAGCTGAACAAAAAAATACCATATAAATTGTGCCAGCCATGGATAAGCAAATTGTGAATATTTTAAATGGAATATGTTCTGGAAAACAACATTTATTGGTACAAAATATAAAAACAAATGAAATACTTCAGAGA